ATACGCCTGCCTCTGCCTCCTGTGTGCTGGGACTAACCATGTGCGCCACCACAGCCCAGCCACACTCGTCTCCCAACCGAATGTTCTGTTTTTTCTAGGAAACCGGGTGCCATCTGTGTCTCTCTTTCCCTAATTGCCCTTTTTTGGCCAAGGGTCCAGAATGTAAACCAAACAGGCAAGGCACATTGGGACCCACACTTCACCAGAGTCTTCTGGTGAATTCACACTCAAGTATGGACAAGAAGACTACAAACAAACTGCAGGAAAACCCAAGATTGGCCTAAGTCTAGAATTCCTGCCCACAGGATACTGCCACTGTCCAGGCTGAGGGGAGAGATCCCGCCTTCCACCACCCTACTCCACCCGTACACCTCTGGCATGGAGTGATGAGACCTCAATTGGTTCTTTACTGTTTGGTTCTCTCATTTAACAGTCACATAAGAGTCACTTGGTTGTAGGGCATCATGATTTGGCTTTATTGTCCAACACTGACTTGCTTAGTGACCTTAGATATTAACTTTTCCAAACTTTATTGTCTCTACACCTAGTCATGACAAAGAATGACAGAAGACAATGTTTATTGATTTTTACTTAGCACGTCTTCATCTTTTGTATTTATTCTTATCTTAAATCGTATGTACGTTTGTGTCTATGTGTGGTTATGATTTAGAGAGTGCCCGTGTCCATAGAGGCCAGGGAGCAGTTGTCCCTGGGGTTACGGGCCACCAAATGCAGGTATAGGGAATTGAATGTAGGCCCTTTACGGTAGTAAATGCTTCTAATGGCAGGCATCTCTCTGGCCACCCCCACTCTCTACTACGAGTGTTTGCCTACATGGATGAAAGAACATCACATGCACACAGTACCCACAGAGGCCAAAAGGGGGCGTTGCGATTCCCCGAAACTGGAGTGATAGGTGATAGTGAGCCACGAAGCCAGTGCTGGGAACAGAACCCAGTCCTTTGCAAGAGAAGCAAATGTTTCTAACTCCTGAGCCATCTCTCTAGCCCCATCTCATCCCCACCCCCAAATTGTTCATTTTGTAGATTGTCTTCCCCTTCTCTTCAAAACCTCCCAGTGAGGGACAGTTGGTACCAGGCACTGCCTTGGCACTGTCTTTAGTTAGTCCCAACAACTCTGAGAAGTGGGTTTAACCATCTTGCTACTACAGATCTAGCAAGGAGGATTCACAGATGTAAAGGGACTGGCCCTAGGAAACACAGCAAGTGACAGAAGGCAGTTAGTGTCCTTTGCTTTCTCTTTTCTCTAATGGACTCATTTCTCATTGGTTTACGTTTTCAATGACTACACTTCAGGACAAAAGGCTTCATGCTGGTACTCAGAATACCCCAAAGGGAAGAAGCCCTGGTGAGCAATGCTCATGTGACAGTCTTGCTCATGAGGAGAAAAGCCATCAGCCCGTGGTAGGTGGAAACATCAGCTGCTTTCATCTCCAGTGAATGATGTGATTTTCATTGAAAAAACAATGTAAATATACTTAATGTCACTAAACTCTTCATTGGCCAATAATGGTCACAATTAGGGCTGGGACCACTCCTCAGTGAAGAGCACTTGCTTTGCATGCACGAGGGTCTAGATTGAACCCACATGACTGCCCCTCCCCCCACAAAGGCCAAAATAACAATTGTTGTTTTGTATGTTTTATAATAAAAGCAAACAAAATGGGAAATAGGTTTTGTTAAGTTGCATCTTTTTATATTTAGATTTTACAGCCAATAATGAGAGTCCTATATGGGCAAGTGAGTTGCTTCAGTGGGTACCTGCTGTCAAACCTGACAACTTTGATCCCTGGGACCCATCTGGGAACCAATCCCCCAAATTATAATTATTCTCTAACATTCACATGCATGCCGTGGCACAGGTGCTGCCCCCATGAGCAAAGTATGTAAATAAGTAAAGTTAAACAAATGAAAAAAAGAATTCTTTGGTTAGGTCTTAGAAATTCTGACATGAATAATCTAGACATAAATCCACTTTCAGATTTTTGGAAGCCTCTCATCTCTTATTTTCCCTTCCCACCAACATTTCAAAATATGCTTTTGTGAAATTTAACAATCACTCCATTAGACAAGAAATATGTATGAAGGTTTTGCAAACTGCGCTGCCCTATACCCCATCCCTCCCCACAACATACACACTGCTGACAAGCTCACTCTACCTGCCTCATCCTCACAGGTTCCCAATGCTCCACCTGCTTATGAGAAGCTCTCTTCGGACCAGTCGCCACCACCGCCACCACTGTACTCACCCTGAGCGCCAGCCAGCCAGCAACTGATGATTCCCCTCCCACTCTTGCTTTAAGGCTGGTAGACACCCATGTTTTTCTTTAGAATGCTACATAATGTGCACCTCTACTAACAGGCAGTGCTGAATTCTTGTTAGAGGAACACTGAGAAATAGAAAGCTGGTGAGAAATAGAAACCTTGCAAATGCTTCAATAAATACTTCAATGCATGTTATCTGTCTTGGAAGTAATGCTCTTAAACCATCATCGTCGAGGGGTAAACTCACATGGATGATCTGGGAGCATTTGATTTCTTTGTGAGAAGATTATTTTAAACTTTTTATTTATTCTGTGTCTTTCACATCACGCATCTCAATCCCATTCATTTCCCCACCCCTTGTATCTGCCCTTTGCCCTTGCAAGCCCCTTCCCCAATAAGATAAAATTTATTTTATTTTCAAATGACTTGACAGATTTACATGACCCCACCTGGATGGCATTGCCCTACATGTGGAATTGGGGTGGGGGGTGGGAGGGGAGGGTGGTCAGGGTACATGTGAGCGGGGAGAGAGGGTAAGAGGGAGGGAGAGGGAACTTGGATCGATATGTAAAATTAAAAAGTCAACCTCCCCCCCAAAAAGTCTCATCATAGAAGCTGTAGCATGACACAGTGAGTCGAGCAGTAAACCTTTTATCCATATATCTTTACTTGTCAGTGTTCATTACAAAAAGTCATTGGTCTGGTCTGAGGCCTCTGCTTCCTGCTACACCATCAATACTAGCCCCCCCCCCCCACAGGAGAGCCACTCTCTAGCTCCCCCTTTTTTTTAATAATAAAAATTTATCTTAAGATAGTATTTATTTTGTGTATGTGTGTGTAGAGCTCAGTGAGCAACTTGCTCAAGCCTGTTCTTTCCTTTGATCATGTGGGACACAGGAATTGAACTAAGGTCTTCTGGTTTGGTGGCAAACACCCTTACCCACTGAGGCCTAAGCCTACTCTTTCTACTATTTCAAATTTTAGAGCAGAATGTTGTGATGAGGCTTAATATTTTAAGTTGAATGTATATATTGGTATCTTAATAAGGTAACGAAGCTCCAGTAAGTACAAAGCTACCTTTTATTTACAACGAGGCACATTCTCAAGCTCTACAAAGTCAAGCCCTGAGTCAAATTAACTGAGCAACAGAATTGGCTTCAGTATTACAATTTGAGCAGTTGCTCTATAATCTGAGTGAAAGGAGAAAGAGCATTAATCATTTTGCTCACTTTTCATTTCAAATGACAAAGAAATTCATGTACTTAAACATAGTTTTGGAAAATCATTAACAATGAACCAAGACCTCAGTTTAAACAGAAATGTGAAGAAAGGTGAAGGGTAACACCACCACTTTGGATTACTTTTGCAACCTGTTATGAACCCAGATTATAACAAATTAAGTCTCCAGAGGCATGGCGGTACTTGTCTCTAATCCTGGTACACTCAGGAAGCTGAGGCAAGGCCATTCTGGGTTATATGGAAAGTTCCAGGCCTATTTAGGGGCATAGAGAAACCTAAAAAATAAAGAAGTTTTAAGGAACATGTTTTGGATGTGGAGACATAAACCAAATATTCTTATCTGAAAACAACACACGTTCTGGTCAATACAAATTTTTGTGTTTTTTTTTCCTCTATTTTTTTTTTTTAAATGTCTGGAACCATAAAATCTTGAATGAAAACTTCAAAACAAAAGTCAAGTACAACTACTGGGAGAGCGTGCGTGAAGCATCAGATTCATGCCCTTGCTCCACTCTCCACGAACCAGGTAAATTTGGACATGTCACTCAGCTCCCAAGATTACTGTGGAAATAAAATAAGATACATGAAAGGAAGCTTCATCAAGTATAAAGAGTGTGCAAGTGCTATTATTTCTATAAACTTCCCAATTTTAACACATTTTTAAAGGACTGTTTTCATTTATATCATGTACTCTTTCAATGGACAAGAACACATTTTAAAAACGGTATTCAAACACAGAAATACAGCAACTCAGTTTATTATATGCAGATTCTTCTGCATTGTTGCTAACAGTTCACTGGTCCAAAATTACTAAAATACTTAAAAAACTATACATTATGTAAACAAAACATAAATAAGACAGCATTGTTCTTTGTACATATATTTAGTACAGATTATTAGGAATTTAAGGAGTATGTACAATTTTACAACATGGACTGCAGTTTCTTAATGCATAAATATATATATGTATATATATATATATTCTTTTTTACAGAAACAAAAATGAGATGTCACCAATGACACAGAATACTATACTGTAGATACACCACAACAGTCCAAATTTAAGAAAAAACATCAATATAATTATGAAAAGGCTAGCTTACTTAAACTAGTCAAACTTGAGTTTGTTCAATTTATGTTATATAGACAGGTAAATCTTGATGACATATTTTTGAACAAAGAACCTTGGAAAACATCTTCACACCAATGAGTAAAATGGTAGACATCCCCCCCACCAAGAAAACAAAGTCTTGTGCAAGTTAATGAAGATACATACACATACTCACACATATACCACATACTAATGAAGATACATAACACACACACACACACACACACACACAGCACACATCCTAATGAAGACATATACACACACTCCACACCACACATACTATTGAAGATACATATACACCCACTCACACACCACACATACTAATGAAGATACACACACACACACACACACACACACACACACACACACACACACACACACGTATGAACAGCATGTTTTCAACAGAATAATAAACAGTTAAATTTTTATGGGAGTTAAAACAATGCCCCATTATTTAAAAACTGGCTCATTTAGTCTAAATTCAAGATGCAGCTTTGTCAGGTTTCTCTGAACCAGATGACTGAAAAGCAGGGAAGACAGAGGCAGGATTTTGACTAGCAGATACAACAACTTGAGGAAGAGATGAAGACATTGAAGATACTTTAGATGCTGGAGTATTTATGGTATTTAAAATGGCTCCTTCTGGGCTAACCAGTAACTTTTTGACAGAGGTATCCAAATGAAATACCGATGTGCTACTTGGCAGTGGAGGATTATTGGAGGAAATGGCAGAAACCAAAGATGTCTTTGCCAAAAGAGTAGCTGGAGAGGACCTAATCACTGAAGTCAATGGCACCGTTGGTGCAGGTGGGACATAAACTTTAGCAGGTGTGTTTACCATCTGTGGTGTTGAATGTACTGCAGGGAAAGAACTTGGATTTCCAAGACAGTTTACAATCTTTGTAGAGTTTCTCACAGAATGCTTTAAAGGCGGGCCACTTAGAGAATGATTTGATGTCTGTATGATCTTCTGGACAGGATTATCTACTGGTGTCGTCGGTATACCTTGGGGATTGTTAAGAACTAAGGGAGGCCCATATTTTGGATTAGTAGAGATAAGGAGGACATGGCTCCCTGCTCCAAGACCCTGTGGTGGAACAATAAACCGGGCTCCATTCATCATGATTTGAGTACCTGGTGCCAAAGGTGTACTGGTATTGATAACTATTTTTTGCTGAATACAAGGTTCACTAAAGGAGGCACCTGCCAGACTAGTTATATTTAATGGTGGTGTACAAGTGTGAATGGTAGAGCCACCTGCAGCAGAATTACCAGAAGCTGTTTTTACTAACGAAGGGGACATAAGCTGGTTTGGCATAGAAGCAATGTTGGAAGTAGTAATTATTTTACTTGGACTTGGTGAGAGAGATGGTAATTCAGCTTGAGGTTTATTTGTGTTTGAATTTGTTGGCACTGTAGTTGAAGTCCCTGGGGACTGAAACTGTCTTTTGGAAAGAGATACAGGGCGTGTGGCTCCTGGTACTGTTGCTGAAGGTGGAACCGTGTTGATTATTTTTGGAGATGTAGTCACAGGTGCAGGTAGGGTGACAGTAACAGGGATTTGCAAAGCTGATGTCAAACATTTAGGAGACACAGTGGGTTGTGTAGTTGAAATGAGAACAGATGATGCAAGGTGTCCTGTTTTCACAGTTGATATAGCTACTGTGTTTCCAAGATTTGATGTGCAAAGTCTATTTGACAAAACAGGCATAATTCTTGAAGAGGTATCAGTTCCACTGACTAAAACAGGAGGTCGAGTCCCAGCTGAAGCAGAGGATGAGGTCACTGAAAGGGAACTCAAAGGTACATTTGCTCCTGTTCCTGAAAACATGTTTGTAGCTCTTGCTGCAGAAACCACTGACTCATTAACAGGAGGAAGATTCGGACTCACAATACTTGAGCTTGCTAGGACTGAGTTACCACTTGTTGACAAGGGTGAAACATAGCCCTTACTACTTTTGTCTTCTCCTTTTGGCATTATACTTTGCAATATATTAACTGATGATATAGCTGGCAGATTTCCTGGAGGGTTAATAATTGCTTGTCCTATGTTTAACCCAATTTTCACATCTTTAATCTGAGACACGGTTGGTGAAGAATTGATTTTTATTGGTGTTCCTAATGTAGACGGAATTAGTACTATTTGGGGTTGCTCTGGAGTCTTAACGTAAGTTTTATTCAAGGGAGAAGGAAGTGTCTGTTTTAATGATTCTGCAACAATAGCTGAGGCTGAAGTGCCACTAGGAACTGGAGCATTAATAAAAATGACTTTTTGGGTGGAAACACTCGTAGATGTTGGTGCTGGTGCCATATTAACTGAAGACGCAGTGCTGGAAGGAAGAGCCGACGGACTTGACACTAGCATGAGTTTCTGAACAGGAGTCTCACTGAGAACATCTCCATTTATTGCTTCCGATCTTGTAACTTGGTAACTTTTTGTGAAATAATCTACTTGTTGCGCTTTTGTGTGAATGACATTTGTATTGGTTTGCCCGAAATTCCCTGGTGATATGCTAATCACACTAACTGAACTATTTGTTGTTGATGGTAGCAGCGAGCTGGGAGAAATGGAGGGTTTCAAGGGTGAAGAGGGCTTGTGTGAGGTGTTTTCTGTCACGGGGTCCACACAGCCACTGCTGGAGGGTTGGCCTAACACGGGTTTGAGATTTTTCCCCATGGATGGATGAAAGCCACATGAAATAGAAACACAAGTAGGCGTTTGGCTGAAAGATGGGGGAGTAGATGTAGCAGTCATTCCAGCTCCTTGTGAAAAAGCAGGGGACGGTGTCGATTTTGGCACCAGAAATGCCTGAAGTTGAGGTGCGAAGGTGAAAGGGGAACTTGAAGATAAACTGCTGGGTGAATTTTGTTCTGGATTAGTTTGTACTTTGACAACTCCAGTGTTCCCACCTCGAGTCCTAACAAGAATTGACTGCGAATCTCTGATACATACGGTTTTGAGTTCTTGCTTTGCCTCAGAGGAATCAACAGTTTGCTGGGAGAAACAGGTGAGGGAACTGCCAGGATCTGTGCATTCACTTAGTGTTGTTGCTGGTAACAGAGGCTGAACTGTTGAGGAAATGGTGGGTGAAGTAATAGGCTGGGGGAATGTGGCTGGTGAAACTGCACTCTTGCCTTTCCCTGCTTCGCAATGGCTAGTCTTAATGGGTGATGATAATGTATTACTTACAGAGGTTACAGGTGACAGGGGCTGTGATCTAGCACTCACATTTGATGAAGGAGCAATTGTCTTACTGAAAACTGTATTAAGCAGTTGGGTAGAAACTGTCCCTCCTGAGGTGACAGGAACAGACACTAAGGAACACTGCTCTGCACCCTTCTGCTGAGGTGCTGCTAGCTCTTTTGCAACTGCTTTTCCCTCTTTGTGCTGAATCACAAAATTCTTAGGCAGAATAAGGACTTGCTGCATGATCTTTTCTCCTGTTTTAGAATCCACCACAGGCTGCATCTGAATCTTGACAGAACTACTATGAAGGTCTACTGGCAGCCACTGACCACAGGGCATTTTGTAAACCATCTGTAAAGGTCCTTTTGTACTGGTGAGGCAGCTCGATGCTGGCTTTATAGGGCTTGTTTCTGCAGGAGACTGAGCTGGCTTTTCCACAGCAGGAACACTTCTACCTGTGAAAGGGGGCAGTTGATTTGTTAAGGTCACTTTGTTCCCAATATTCTTTGCAAGCAAGGCCTGAATAGGTTTGGTCCCTTTCTGGAGAGTAGACACTGGTACTGAATCCTTTGAGGCAAATGACTCTGAAAATGGCAGTTCTGTATGCTTTGACTCACTCAAACAGTCAATCTGCATATCATCTTCCAAGTTCTCAACTGATGTTGTGCTTAGCTTTGCTTTCTTCCTTGGGGAAAGCTCCTTTGTGCTATCATCCAGATAACTGCTTTGTTTGGACTGTCGTTTAAGGGCTTTAGGCAGTGTCTTCACTACATCTTTAGAAGACAATTCTTTTTTCAACAACTTGTTTCTGGCCAAAGGATAGCCTATTTCTGATAATTTCATATCATCTGAAAATGATAAAAACAAGCATTTTGTTTACAGAACACAGTTTTTGAGTAACACCAATTATAAAAATTAAAGTCAATCTCTAAACAGGCAATTTAAAAAAGAATACTGTACAGTCTTCCTCTTCCCAAAGCTTCAGCAATGCTGACGAAGGTAGCAGTGGCCTCTGACATGCTGACTTCCCACATCTCAGCTTAAGAGCAACCCATTGCTGAGATCAGTCCCAGATTAAGACTGCTGCTAAGGTGTGAGTGTTAAGGAAAAACCCAGTTTCTAAAAAGATACTGAGTTTAATCTGGCGAGTTTTCTTTCTTTAGCTAGGGAACCCTTTACGCCATAGAGGAACGGTTACTATTCTATATTTTAGTCTTCAGAGACTGAAAATGAACACCAATGTTTAGCCTTTCTTTTCTTAATCCTTAAACAACTGTGGTCACATCTGGTCAAAAGAAGTTCACTCTTACAATTCTTATGAGATAGGAACTATGTTAACATATCACTAACTACAAGTTTTCAGATTAACTTCTTATGTAACTGAAGAACGCCATTGATGAGCTGAAATGACTCACATATAACTTGGTCTAGTTACCCATAATTTACTAGAGTGATATGTTTACTTAGCTCCCAGTCAGCCATCAACCTTGGTCACACCTCATTTTAAAAACCTTTCACAATCTTAATGATTTCTCAAATTCATTTACAACAAATTTTACCAACAGAACTTTAATAGTAGTAACAATAAAAAGATAATCAGTGAATTCCAAATGGGTAACTGATTAGTAATATATGGTCTGCAACAGGCAATAGCACATATATAACTTAGGGTTAAGCACTGGCTTCAAAACTCTTAGAAATTTAATAATGACTGTCAAGAAATTGCTTATAAGAATATGGACAGTATTTCTGCAAATTATTGAATTTTCTCAAGCAACATTCACTAACCCGATTACCTTTTGCCTTCACAACAAACAGAAAGTTCTCTTTGTGCTTATATTTTAAAAGTTTGAATGCCTACCAGAATCCACGTGTTCTTTCTCCAGGTTGTCTAGAGGTTCTGCTGCATCTACAGACTTACTGATTTCTGCTGTAGGAGGATCTCTCTCAGGGTTCCCTTCACATTCTTCAGAAGTCCACAGTTCTCTAGTGAACTGACCATAATCAGGTTGTCTTCGGAAATCATCATAGTCTTTCTTCAGGCGGCTCCTGAAATAATCATTGTAATGTGGAACTTTTGGAAGCTAAATTAATTAGCATATTAAATTGAATCTTGAAATATTTTCAATTATCATTAAATTATGTTTAAAGTGTATCTAAGATGCCTTTTAGTCTTGCCAATTATTAATTGCCCAAGAAGACAAAACTTATGATATATGCTTAAGAAATTAAAGGTTATATCTTAAAGCTGGGTGCTGCCTTTAATCCCAGCACTTGGGAGGCAGAGGCAGGTGGATTTCTGTGAGTTCGAGGCCGGCCTGGTGTGCAAATCAAGTTCCAGGATAGCCAAGGCTGCACTGAGAAACCTGTCTCAGAAAAAAAAAAAAATTGTGAATAAGAATTGAATATACCACCTATTTGTCTTTCTGAGGGTTGTCGTTAGTTAGAATTATTAAGAAAAGCAATAAATAACTAAAGTTTTCTATTTGAATTGAAAAATGAGTTGAGTCACTCACTAAGTAGACTGGCCAGCAAGACCCAGGAATCTTCATGTCATATACATGCTTGGCTTAAAAAAAAAAAAAGCCATTAAAAAATTCCCCCCCCAAGACAGGGTTTCTCTAAGTAGCCCTGGCTGTCTTGTAACTCTCTGTAGACTAGGCTGGTGTTGGATTGAAGTCTCAGCATTGCAAGCAAGCAGGCAGGCAAGCAAGGGGGCAGGCGGGCAAGCAAGCAAGCAAGCAACAGAAGCACAGAAAACATTCTGTCTCTTTAAAAACCTTTCAAAAACTTTTCAACTTGGTCCATGTAAATTCTTAAAAGATTAAGTCCTACCTGACCTGGCTACCTTGACTTCTGACTTTTATGTCCTACCTCAATCTACATCAATGATTTTTCTTTGATTATAACTGATTCTCACTCAGTGCTTCCTCTAAATGCCAAATACACGTATACACTTTTTTAAGTGTGCCCTTCCATTTCGTTTCCCCTCTAGCATGCGCCTCATTTCCTTTGTGAGTAGCCTCCACAGTCCCAAACAAGAATTTCACATCCCTCCGCCAGGGCCCTCCCACTAGCAGTTACCACATTTGAGCGGGCATTCACTGAGAATGTTGTTTTGTATTTACTGTACTCAAAATGAATGGAAAAGCCCCAAATCATAAAAGAAGGGTCTCAGAATAAGCTAAATACACCATAAAGCTTATTACCTGTTTCTCTGAAAAGCCTTCATTAACTTTGGTTCCCATGGCAGCAATTCATTTAAAAGGCGTATCAGTGTACTATGCAATTCTTTTACAGCTTGCCTCCGATGGTACCATTTGCCCTAGAAACATAAGTTTTAAAAAATAAATTTCTAAGACTTAACCTAAAATCAGTATCAACCAAGTTTCAGCATCTAATTAAAAAGTAACAAAATGCCAATATCATCAAAAATATTTCTTCCACAGGAGTTTACAAGAGGAAATATCTTTTAGTATGTTTAGTGATCTCAATTCTACAGAAGAAATCCCAAAATGCTTATCATTTAAGTAGGAAATACATATTAAAAATAGTCTAGTTATGTCAGTTGTAAATATCTTAATAAATCATTTACCAAATGTATGTAGTCTTGGATTTGATGTCCAGTGCCAAGGCGGGGGACCCCATGAACAAACAAACATAATCATGTAAAGGTACAAATATTTAAATACATTCACCAAATACATAAGCATAGTTCATGAAGAAAAGTTTTCTGTAACTTCTAAGAGAGGAAAAATAAGAATTCTTAACAAACTTCCTTAGGAGTTGTTACAATCATTTTAGCAGTTTCTGGCATAGAAAAGCAACTAAAACAGTTAATGTTGTTTTATTTTCTGTGTGGTGTTGTGTGTATGCGCATGTGCACAAGGATGTAGAGACCAGAGGACATTAGGACACCAGTCCTCCTGCTTCTATAGCAAGGAAACATCTGTAACACTGAGCTACCTTCCCAAGCCCAACCAACTGCTTTTTAAAACCTACTCACTACACTAACATTAATTATTACTGGTGTCCCTCCCATTTGCTGGTATTACAGGTACTGACTGTCTGTCTATCTAGAAATGACGTGTTAGCAATTTCTAGCACAGAGAAGCAACTAAATAGTTATAAAACGAGGAAATATCTTGTATCATATAATCCATATGTATTATTTCTAATGAAAGATAGAATTATATATTATTAGATCACATTTAACAGCCATAAAATCAGACTTCATCCTATAAACAACTGTTGAGTTAGTCTGCCCGTATGTAGAATAATAAGGCCACTATCTACAGCAAAATATATTCTAGAGTTGTACATGGAGTTGCCAATTTTTTATATACTCACACATACACATGCACACACATAAAACTTTTTGCTATTTTAAATGACAATTCTGTAATCCAGTCTCTTTTTTTTTTCTGCTGGGTTTTCTTTTTTTTTGTGGACAGGGTTTCTCTATGTAGCTTTGTAGACCAGGCTGGCCTCGAACTCACAAGAGATCCTCCTGCCTCTGCCTCCAGAGTGCTGGGATTAAATGTGTGCACCACCATTGTCCAGCACCAAAGTCTTAATGGCATGCTTGACAAAAAGAGTACTCAGCAACCACAGAGTGTATATTTGCACAAACACAAAGAGCCATATTTCTTCTGAGGTTTCTGAATCTTAAAGAGGAACTGTTTATTAGAAGAGTAAGAAACGTAGGATTATATGCTATGAACACACCAAATATGAACCCTATGCTAATTCATGTCTTAAAAAAGATTATTTTTATGTGTTTGAGTGTTTGCCTACATGTATGTAAGTGTACCACATGTGTGTAATGCACACAAAGACTGAAGAGGGAGCTGAACCCTCTGAATTGCACACGTCCATGTGGGTGCTGGTAACTGAATCCAGGTCTTCTGCAAGAACAGCACATATTAACAACTGTGGTCATTTCTCCATCCTTAACTTGCATCTTAATAGAATGTCAGATCATGGTATTAAGGAAAGTTTTAAGAAAAACTCCCTTTCTCCCCCAAGGCAGAGTTTTTTTGTATAGCCCTGGCTGTCCTGGGACTCTCTTTAGACAAGGTTGGCCTTGAACTCTAAGATTCACCTGCCTCTGCCTCCTGAGCACCACTACCACCCAGCTTAAGAAAATTTTTATTTCCTACCACATAGTAGTTCTAAAAGTTAGTTCCTCATGTGTGGTGACCCCCAGCCATAAAATTATTTTCATTACTCATAGTGTAAATGTTTGATGTGCAGATGGTCTTGGGTGACCCCTAAGGACTGTTTGACCCCTAAGGTGTCATGACACAGATCGAGAAACTGCTATAACATATTAAAGAGTCTTATTTCTTTTTAAATGACTTCTAGGAAAAGCACAAGTCAGACCAAAGTAAGCAGTGAGCTGTATCTCAAAATTTAAACTTTTTTCAAAAGAATTGATGAATCAGTATGAAGTGATTATTCTAATCCATGAAAGAAAACTATTAAATGAAATAAATAAGAAATAGTATTTATCCAGGGCAACCATACTTCTCTTGGTTTTCAGAGAGGATCTCACCATGTAACCTTTGACTTGTTACGCAGTTCAGGCTAGTCTAGAACTTTTGAGCTTCCTGCTTCAGTCTCCCATGTGTTGAGATTACAAGTGCCAATCACACACTCAGCAACTACTTGGTGGAAAAATGAAATTGTGAGAAAGCAGAACCCAATTTTACTTAAACTTCCTTATGCGAAGGAAGAAAGATGAAAGAATATTCTCTATGTGGTAGAATTCACTAGAAAAAGGATTATTCTTGAGAGAACTAGTGGGGACCAAAGGAGAAATGTGACACCTGTAGAACTAACCTTGCTTGCATAGTTGCTGAATGGATTAGTATAGCTATAATAGGATGGGGAATGCAAATGATGCCAGTTAGGTCTCTGTAGATGAGGAACAGGAAGGATATACGGTACACCTGGAAATCTTTATATCAGAACATTGCTGTACTGGTATCTGTGGTGATACTTTTGTTTATGATCTAATAAAGCTAGCCTGAAGATCAGAGTGCAAAGCCATAGAGGCCAGGCAGTGGTGGCACACACCTTTAATCCCAGCACTCCGGAGATAGAGGCAGATGGATCCCTGTTAGTTCAAGGCTACCCTGAACTATACAAAATTGAATCAGTCTAAAAGAGAAACAGAGCTCACAAAGCTGATCTCAGCACTTGGGATCCCAAGCCTTTAATCCCAGCTCTAGAGAGGAATTTAAGGTGGGAGGAGACAAGTCCTCTGGGGTTTGGAGGAGCAGTGGAATCTGAGGCAGAGATAAGAGCTGGTGACTGGCTGCTCTTCTCTGATCTTCAGCTTGAACCCCAGTATCTGTCTCTGAGTTTTGATTACTAATAACAATTAGAGTTAGTGTTACAGATATCTCACTTAAATTACAACATTAATTTTTGCATAAGATTTTTAAAATAAGAAGATTTTACATTTAATTCTGATTAACTTTTGATTAATTAACATCTACAAATTATGCGACTGAACCAAAAGACTATATACAAGGGAACTCAAATGTTTAATCAGAGAACAGATTATAACTTTCATACAACTGCCTTTCCCATTAACCTGTTGAAATCTATGGTTGTCTATCATAGAAGATTAATAAAATATATAAAAGTATAAAAAATACAATGACTCCAGGAACCTTATACACTGCCACGGGATGCGAATCTATAGTCTTGAGGTGATTAAGAGGGCAGAATCATTGCTTGTATTGGTGTTTAAAGCAAGGCTTTTCACTCAACTACTCAGACTGGAAGGGAACTCATAGCTTCTTGTGTCATCTGGATAAAACATGAAGCTTACAATCCAGATGCAATTAACATAATGACATCTTGTGCCCCACACCACTGGTGCAAAGGACTGAATCCTGATCCCTGCACTCTATCACCAAACTAACTCCTTAACTAACACTTGTTGCTTTCTGTTGAGTAGTGACCTCATTTTCACAGAGGAGCTATTACAAGAACCATAAAAGTTATCAATTTTTAATAAGCAATTAAGAGTTAGTAACAATCTGCTTTACCTTTGGTCCAATATAAAAATTTACTTCAAATCAACAAATATTTATTGATGTTTAAACTAAGCAACCCCAAGCCAGAAATAGCTTTTCTAACTGATCAACTTTATTGATTATAATACAGATATGAGGAAAAACAATTTTTATATTTCTTCCAAGATGGATTTATTAAAATTTAAAAAGCCATAATTTTCTAGAAGAAAGGTGTCTTAAAATCTCCTCAGGAATTTCTTGTAAAATGGAACTGACTTCAGACTAAACTTCTGGATCTCATGCATGTTTAAATTTACTCTCCTCAAACACCATGTTGTCTCTCTTGGTCCTCAAAAAAAGCCAATTCCTTAACAATTATAAATAAATTATATTGTGCAACTACTTATTCCTAAGTAAGTACTAATAGGTTATATTGTGCAGACACCCTTGTAATGTTAAAAGTTACATAACTAACAATTGTGTTAATTTAAAGTAGAATAGTAATTAAAATAGTGACATATTTTAAAACAAAGGAAAACAACAATTGGCATGGTGGCACAAGCCTGTATTCCCAGCACTCTAGATTTAGGGGTAAGAGGATTGCTGCAAGTTTGAGGTGAGCCTGGGCTACAGAGTGTATTTCCAAGGAAAATAAGAGCTAAAAAACCAGTACATTCGCTTGTTTTACTAATATAAAATTCACTGATTTTTAAGAATGTGTACTGATTACAGAGCTAAAAATCAAACTGGCAGATTGGTATTTGGGGCAACTAGTTAGGTGCTACAATGTGCTACAGCATTAATAAAACTACTTGGTTTAATATTTAATATAAATTATGCATATACTCTGGTTATTTTAAAACAAGTTAAGTGAATACAGGGAAATTTTAACCTTTTTTATCATCACGATTCTGATCATTTTCAGGAATAAAAACATTTTAAAATAAAACTTAAACGCATTATATACATTTAGTATTATGAACATCAAAGTTCACTTTAATGAAAATAGAGTAGTTCTAAAAAGGATTTATTTTATGTGTGTTTTGCCTGCACCATGTATGTATTTCTTAACAAGGAAGGCCAGAAGAGGGGTGTCAGACCCATGGAACTAGTTATGGTGACTGTGAAGTACCATGGGGATGCTGGGAATTGAACCTGGTCCTCTGCAAAAACAACTGCTCTTAACCACTGAGCCATCTTGCCAGCCCAAAGAGTAATATATATATATTTTAAAATTAACAGATTATAAACTTCAACATGAACAATGAATTTCAAGCATGCAACAGGAAATAGT